ATGATATTTCAAGGGCAGTTGTATAGAAACCAACTCAAAAAAGTTAAACTTTTTCTGACATTTTGAATTGAAAAAGCTTCCTGGATGGAAAGCAATTGTCTTCAAACTTGGAAACAAAGTCCAGTGGATTGTTTTTTAACTTTGTTGGAATTAATATGGCCTGGATGGCTGGCTACACCAGCATATAGAAACCATCATCATCCAAACACTACTATTAGGATGCAAAATACAATGACAGAAAAAACATAATGACAGGATTTAGATCTAAGCCAGTTAAACCAAACAATAGTTACTTATTTTCTTTTTAAGGAAACTTTCTCATGTACTAGAAGGATGTTTTAAGCTATCTTGAGGATGCGATCATTTATTATTGAAGTTCACGATTGGAGATGTTGATGTGAATATCAATGCAGTTCATCTCAAGAAGCAAGGAACACTGAAACATATTAGATCTTTAGGATAGCCTCTTAAATGATTCTGCATCAGTTTGTACCCTGCTAGTCCATGTGTTTGTGCGAGTATAATGGCATACAAGGTAAGTTTGAAAATTGTATTCTGTATTTGTTTTGCTTTAGTCTTGCATTCTGGTATTTACTTTGGATGGATGAAATCAAGAATAGTTAGTGCAGCAAAAAAAAAAGGCTCAAAATTTCATGTAGATCACATCAAATGTGTAACTTGCTGACACAGGTCAATGCATAATTTTGGATCATGCAAGAATTTGTCAAACAAAATGTTATAAAACTAAATTAAGGAAAGCAAAAGTGAATATAATGCAAAAATTAAAACAAAAACAAAGCATTATACAGTATTGCTATGGTTCTGGCTCATTTTCCTTTAAACTACATAATGGGCCACTGACCTTGAAGATGTGATCGCTGACAAGGCGGAATGATTTTGGTGAGTGTACAGAGTTGTGCTGTCAGCTCAGTTTCAGCCAAATTCAGGAAAATCGACCGCTCAGCGCCTCACTGCGCAGATGGAGGATGACTGAAAGCAAACCGCAAGAGCAACCCAAAAGCTGCTTAATGCTTTCAAATGCCTGAGTCAGTCAGCATACCTGATCAGAAGAGCAAGCACTTTATTTTCTGAGGACAAAACTTCAGTTGGAAGGAGCAAAAAACAAACAAAAAAAACAACTGAAGAGAGTTGCAGTTGGGGCCTGGCAGAGAATCACACTTGAGGGAGCTCAGCATGTGGTTGTGTCCATATGTTTCAGATCTTAGGCAGTCACTACTGATATTCATAGAAGATTCTTAAAAAAATCATAGTTGAATTTAAGCATACAGGTTTATTTCAATAGGGCAGAAAGTAATTTGAATATTTCTCTATTTTCTGTAACCATTTAGATTTTTTATGCATACTTATGTGTTAGAATAGCACAGAAAATCATTTTCTTGTACCACAATGGGGAAATTGTGGTACCAAAGTGTGGTAAAAGTGGACCTTAAAAGTGCATAAGAAATAACAAAAGAGGTGGCAGAGTTAAACAATAAACTAAATAAAATACTGTACTGTAAAGTTTTTTTTACAAATATAAATACTCTGCAGTCACCGGAAGAATAAATATTCAGTATACAGCAGTTTTACTTTTTTACAGTGGTGGATATGAGAAAATAGCAGCCACACCTGAGATAAGCAAAAAGACAGAAGCATGTTATCTATACCTATTCATTTTGAGGGTTATGGGTCACAGCTATTGTGGGTTACAGCTAAAGAAACACAAAATTTTGGTATTACACAAAAACAATTTGAAAAGATTTTTAAAATAGAAATTTTATGATGCCATATGTCAAATGATAGACTATCAAAGACTATTGCAGGCAGCAGACAAGGAGGCTAACACAAAAGTCATTACAGAAAGATAAACGTCTTGAATTTATGTTGTGCTTTTCTAGTTAAACTGACCACTCCTATTTTATTTGATTTAGTGCAGGGGTCTTCAATGTTTTTCAGGCCAAGGACCCCCAAACTAATGGGGATGTGACGCGGGGACCCCTTAATTATATATATATTGTATGAAATTGTGTTAAATCAAACTGGACCAATTACAGATGGAGTCAGGTAATGAAAGTAATTTTACCCTGGGATAATTAAAGTATTCGGAACTGTAAAATTAATTCTCTAAATCCATTCCTCAATCACAGGCAACAACACCATTGCCTTAGCTAAAGAGAAATAAAACACCAGACTGTTGCTTTTTCCTCATTTCAAATCATCCATCCATTAATCTTTTTCTGCTTCATCCATCAGAGTCATGGTGGGGCTGATGCCTGTCTCCAGCACTCTATGGGCGAAAGGCAGGGTATACCCTGGACAGGTTACAAATCCAGGGCATCACAGAGATACACAACCATGCACACACACACACACTCACACCTTAGGACAATTTAGAGACACCTATTAAGCCATCAGTCGTGTTTCTAAACTGTGGGAGGAAGAATAGACTGTTGCTCATTCGCCTTTTCAAATCAGTGCACATTTTCCATTTTATTTGGTCCCAGAGTCTAGGGAAAGTGGAAAGGCATAAAAATCGTACAGTAAAATCTTCACAGTTTGATTTTAGGAGCTGTATGATCTGCTTGGATTGCAATATCCTTCAGTCAATGCAGCAATCCGCCGGAATATTTCAGAGCGGTTAAAGTTTACTTATGCAAACAAGCTTTGAGGATATGAGGATTTAATTTTCCAGCAGGTCTTGGCACCTAGTATCATGGCTCCTCTTTCCTCCATAAAAGACATTTTATCCCAGCGCCGCGTGTCCCAAGCCCTTAACATCAGCAGCTACCCCTTAGACCTTCACCCTGGACTGTTCTCCCTGCTGCCTTCTGGGAAGAGGCTTTGCAGCATTCGATGCCTGACCAGGATGTTCTGTAACAGATTTTTCCCCACCGCCATCAGACTGCTGAACTGTTGAAAAAATTCTAAATTAAGTCACACATTGAGACTCTGTATCACACTGATTACATCATACCTAATAGAACTCAACTCAAATGTTTTCTACTGCAATTTTGCTCTGTATACCGGTATATTTATTTATATTTATTTTCCTCTACCCTGACCCTTCCACATCAATGCTTTTTTGCACCATGACTCTCCTACACTGTTTACATTTCATCACTGCTGCACTTTATGAATGGAAATGTTCTTTTTTATTGCTTAGCTGCTGCTCATTCACTGTCGGAAAGCTGTATAAACAAAATTTAGTTTTGTGCACACTCTGTGTATACAAAATGAAAATAAAGTTTGTTTAACTTTAGTTTGTGCCTGCAAATATTAACTTCTGACTTCAGTCTAGCCTCCAGCACTCTTTTGAATCCCAGGCATCTTCTCACTCAAATACTTGACAATTTGTCTCTTATACACTTTTATACCACTACAAGTGTATTATGAGGACCAATGGCCTTTCCAATTGTCATCCTTATCAATGCCTTTGTTACTTAATCCTTACCAGGCTTTGATATTTTCTCATTATCAAGGGCCACTTCTGCTCATTCTATGTCTCATTTTTCTCATTCATAAGAATCTTTCATAAGAATGTTTCATGTCTGTATATTCCTGACAGCTCCTCTCAGTCCGCTGACATATGCTGAAAAGTAGTTTCACAATTTCCCTGAACCTAAACCTGTTCTTACTTAATCGACCACCAAGTCTCCTGGTTCACTTTCTTTCCAGAGGAATTACCAAGTACTTTCCTATATGTTTTTCTTGTAGCATTAGCTGCGCCTCCTTATCATCCAGAGCCTGTCTCAACACAGATTGCTGTTCCCTTTTCAGCATCCAACACATTATCCTGTGCTCTGCCTTTGTTCTCATTGTCTTCCTCACATTAAAGTTATTCTACACATCAACATCCATTGCTGTAACCACCCATTATATAGCAGTCACTGATTTCCTTTAGGTTAAATCAACACAAGATGTAATCCACCCATGCGCTCCTACCTCTGGTCCAGCTATCTTTATATTCCAGCCTCCTCTTGTAAAAAGTATTCACTACAGCCAAATCTATCTTATTCTACCACTATGCGTTCTTCAGCATTCCCGTTCTGGATACCAAACCTGCTCATCAACTCTGTTACCAGCCCCACTACTGTAATCTTTACCAATCACCAATCTCTCACCTCATTGAATTCCTTCATCATCTAATCTGATTCCCTCCTGAATTTCTCCTTCTCATCTAAATCACATTCCACCTGTGGGGTATAATGACTAAGACTTTCAATGTCTAGCGTCAGACTCTTCTCTCATTCTGACACTCTTTTTTCCCCCTTCTTTTTAAACTCCCAAACATTCCTGACAAACTTTCTAGGATGACTCCTAGAATTGAACTTACTCTCAATTCTCACCTCCTTGTTTTCCTCCTCTCTCTCTCTGCCCACAGAAACAATCTCCTCTCCTCCTATTCTTCTTGTTTATTGTTTCACAGTGGCCCAGTTTCCATCATTACTCTGTCTATCACCAGCACCAACATTGGTCATTGTTCACCAAGGACCCGACTAGTCTGGAATGTTGATTGGTTTTGATTTGAGTGGTAAATTTGGCAAATATTTTATGCCAGACACACAACATTTTGTGGGGCCACTTGAATATTACTCTATTTACAAGGAATGAATATTATAATCTACATTTTACTTATATATTGTCTTATTAAGATGTGCTATCACCATAAACTGACTGGCTTGGAAAGGGAGAATTCTTTAGAGAAATATTGCAATTACTCTGTAGGAGCTGCAGAGATCCACAGCTCATGAAGAAACAATCTGTCAATATCTGGTTTATTTGGAGGATAATAAGGCTCTGCAGGATCTGGTTCCATTTGCAATATGAAAAAAGAATGTCATAGGTAACACGTTTAAAATTTGATCATTTAAAATCAACTGTGCTTTTTGTATATTCTTGTAATGTGTCAGGGAACTCTAACAGATGGAGTAATGGCTCTGACATGTAAAATGAGGCTTAGTTATTGTGCTTGAAGAAGGAAAAGGACGATTTCTGTGTTTAAGGATGAGCCTGCATCCCCCACATGTCGACTCCTGCGTGATCTCCTGCAGGCAGGTGTAGTTTTCTCTCACCATCCTCCATGTCTGTCTGTTTTGACCTTGTTAACGCTGCCTCTCTCTTACGCTGCAACTCCCCTGCTCCCCAAAGGCTCTGGTAATCTTCACTCTAGTGCCACAATATTTCTCCTTAAAATCTAATTTGTAGCCCCTGGTTGATTTATCGAGGCACCCTCTCCTGCCTGCAACATCGCTGCAGAGCTGGAGAAACAAGCTCTGAGAGGTGCTGTGCAGGTTAGCAGTGGCTTTGAACAAATCCTTCCAGCTTTCCTAAAAAAATTGAGGCTTTTTCTTTCCTTTCTTGGCACAGTTAGTTACATTTCGTCATAATGCGTGGATGTTTTATCTCTTTTTTTTGCCAATATGCACAGTGTTGCTCAACCTCAGTACTTTCCTCACTTTCTTCAGTTTGGAGAGAAGAAGAGGTTCTGGATTTGGCAGGCGTGCGACGAATGAGTCAGGCTGTTTTTAAGAACAGGTGAAAGAAACAGTTGGTACCTTCTGCCTCCTGACAGCTGATGTATGCACATGTTCGAAAAAAGAACAGCTCTGAATAATGTGGAAAGTCCAGGGATTTGGGGGAAAAGAATGACCAGTAATGACTACACTTCTTTGCACAAAAGCCATGGACACAGAGATAAACACTAAGCATTCCTTTAATTAATTTGAACAGCCAAACCTCATGAAGCAGAGACACTAACATTGTTAGTGGGAATAATGGGGCAGGAAAAAAAAAAGATATCTTGGACATGAGCCATAATAAGACAAAAAAAGGCTGACAGTCTGTTGCAGAAGCAATGACATGTGTGTGTGTAAAGGTGATATTTTCTGCAGCTGTCCTGTTTATGAAGTGAATACAAATAACCTCCACAGCACGGACACACACACACTAACACAGAACTTGTTCTCCTCAGCGCTGAGTCATTGTTCGGCATCTGTCTTTGCCAATTTAGGGAAGAATTCAGGAACAGTGAGAGAACTTTGCTCGTTGATAGTAAACACCATCAAACCCATGTGCCAAGACTAACAACATGCATCAGTTTATCTAACCTGTCCGCAGGAGGATCATAATGTCAATGAGGGGGGATGGATGGATGGATGGATGGATGGATGGATGGATGGATGGATGGATGGATGGATGGATGGATGGATGGATGGATGGATGGATGGATGGATGGATGGATGGATGGATGGAATCTTTTAAAAAGTATTTATGTCCCCTAAACTTTTCCACTTAAGTTTTTATACAAACTTAAATGTATTTTCTAGACATCTCGATAAACAGACAAACGTGGCTATCAAAGTATTTTAGAAATACAAATTTTAAATGACTGGTGTGCTATTATTTTTCAACCCTCTTTATTCCTAAACCCCCAAATTAAATTAGAACTTTTTGCCTTCAAAAGTCACCTAATTAAAAAAATTCTGCAACTAGAAACTCATAAGGCTTTGGGGAAGCTTTAAGTAGAGTTTAATTATAGGCCTAAGACAATATCCCAATCTTTAAACATCTACCATATGTTAAATCCATTATCTGGAAAAGGAATTATTTTGGTCCAACTGCTATACTACAAAGGTTGAGCAAGAAGGACGTTAATAAGGGAAGCAGCCTAGAGGTATTGCATATAGAGGGCAGAGAAATTTACACTAAATCAAGACACTTCCAATCCAAACCCTGGGACGGCTGTGTTGAGAATTAAATCCTCCGTGTATGTTTTGTCTGTCATACCTTTGTGCCACCGGCAAGTTTAAATTCAAGTTTATTATCTTTAATAATTGTTGAAAAAGAAAAAAGGGGGATAACATAACTTTTCATTTGGTGCAGCCAAATCAATACTGATTTGGCTGCACCAAATGGCACCATCAGAGTTACGTGCTTTGATGATCATGACCCAATCGTTCTGGTACAATTTTGCAACCTGTACTTTGCCTTTTCTTTAGTAAACAAAGAGTAGCTCTATAAAGGCCTCCAGAGAGCCTTAGGACAGCATGTGCAACCCTCAGCTCACTGAGAAACACAATGAATTCTGTGAAAGGTGAGATGATCTTCTTTAAACAGCTGGTATTTCTGCATGTGGTCTGATGGAATATGCTCTATAACTCGAACAAAACTGCTCTCTGTCATTAGCAACCACCCTCTTTGTTCTTCTGGGCCTGCTGGTTCCTGAAATCTCCAGTCAGAAACCCAAGACTCCTGAAGAAGAGGTGGCTTTCCTAAAAGTAAGGCTCGCCTTGATGAAGGATCGCTACAGGCTGTTGTGCAACCAGTACTCCAGTTTGGCAGACAACTGCTCAGCTCCAGGTATGTTCCTCCTCTAGGCTCCAGCAGATGGATGGTGATTCAGTTAGCTGTTTTACAAATTGTTTATATGATTTTAAGAGCAGCCTGCTTTAAAAAGCATTCAGGGTAACATGATTGAGAACAGGACAGCCAGTACAATGCATAAGGCAAATTATCTTAAAAAAAAAAAATAAAAAAAAAATAATAATAAGAATAAGAATAAAACAAAATAGCAACACCATCTAGTAATGTTTTTTTTTCCTTTTAAAGTGTTAATATAAACATGTTATGATCAATAATGATTTTCTATCTGTTTCGTACATCTATAGCCATCTAAAGTCAAAAAGGATAGATTGCGTTTGTGTGCATCGGTTTTTTGAGTCTCCAACTGATTTTAAATTTGAATTCAACCTGAGCATTGTTGTCTTACAGCAAGATGAATCAGTCCTAGTCTAAAATCCTCCCCAAGCTTCCCTGTATTTAGATTCCTGTAGCTTCCCTAAACTCTGACCACCTTTCCTGTTGTTATTAAACAAAGGTTAAACACAGCATAATGCTGCCACTATCAGTTTTTTTCTACCGTTTTCTGACAAGGGACTGAACATTGCTTATCATATTGCTTGACATTCTTTTCCTGATTTAAAAATCATCCAAACCTGATTTGTGTTAAGGTCTTCGTACTTTCTGTTATTGATGTTTTCTCCCTCACAAACATCTAAAGCTTCATAGAACAGCTAGATTCATGCTGCCATTTAATGACACACAGATGGAGTCTTCTCAGTAATTAGGTGATAATTAGGTTGATTGGGTTAGATTTAGGAGTGAAAGAAGAAATGGGTCAGAATGATAAACATTCCCTATCATTTAAAATGTCCTCATGTTGATATAGGTATAAAAAAAATGTTTTTTATTAATTGTAATAAAGCATATATGGTAGGGAAAAAATATTCAGAAATATCGACTGGAACAGATATTTGTTTTTTGTTTCGAAAAAAAAAATGCGTTATTTACTGTGCTATACCAGTTTGTGGCCAATGAAAACTGACCTAATTATCAGATCTTAAACCTGCAGATAATTCAACATCAGGTCAATTTTGTTCTGAATGTGTGGGAAATATAAACAACTGTGGCATCAACATCCATACAGAGAGAAAAAATGGCATCAGTAATAATAAAACTGAAGTTATAAATGTAAGTTATGCTGTTAAACAAACCTTTAAGGTCTCTAATAGAGAACCTTAAAGGTTTGGTGGAGGATTTTCAGGAATTTTTGAAAAGACCTGCACTCTCCACATGGAAAAAAAAGCACAACCCTGTACCCTCTACAGAGAGGGAACGCCTATTAAATGCTTGTGAGACCATGCATAAGCCCATTTCCCCTCGTGCACGCTCTGTTTAAAAGGTGTTGTTTGCATTGCTCATACAAGCTTAATTTCCAAAAGAAGATTTGCAATTTTTCCGACTATGTGAAAATGGGGACGAGCACATAGGACGGCCTTATGTAAACTTATCACCAGAAAAAGAAAAGAAAAAGAACATCCTCCACTATACCTTTAAGTTGAACACAGTGCTTGCAAATAGAAAAGTTACTTTAAAAGCCAGGCCATTGCTCGGTCTGACAGGTTGAAAACCTCTGGTATAAGATGTCATGATTGCAACAAGTTTTTGCAAATATACATATAATGTTCAATAAAGTGCTACTTTACAAGCCTTTTTTTTGTCCGAACAGCCAAAGACTGCAAAGAGTGTCCTGAAGGATGGCTGCAGGTTGAGGATCAGTGCTTCCACCTGAACACTGACAAGCAAGATTTCTCTACCAGTGCTGAGAAATGTAAAGATATTGGAGCCCATCTCGCCATACTCACTACAAGAAAACAGCATGTAGGTGCTTCTGTTCAGTTTAAGCCTATATCAGAGTTGCATTGTGGGATGATTACTGATTGTTTTGGGTGAAACGGTTTGTAGGAGGCTGTGGAAAAAGAAGGCAGGAGGATCGCAGGGACATACATACACTACTGGATTGGACTGAGTGACATTGAGACTGAGGGGGACTGGAGATGGGTTGACAACTCAACGCTAACAACTGCGTATGTATTTACACCAGAAAAAATGTGTTGTCTTAGGCATATCCATTACACATTTATAGTATGTATTTTTTACGTATAGTTTGATGATTTGCTGCCATCAATAATAAGATTTTTTGCTATATAAGATACATGTCTTTATATTTGGTACACTTTATATACCAAACTAAATCTAATGCTAACAACTTCAGTAAAAAATATGCAATTTTCACATGAGGATTTCAATTCTTAAGGGAAAAAAGCAATTTAACTCATCCCCACCCTATCTGAAATATAATAACGTTCCTAATGAAATAATTTATTTACTGTTTGTTTTACTTTTCACTATTTTGGATTACCTTGATGAACAAAGGAAACCCCTGGATACCTCCAAAGCTGTAGAATAAATAAATTGCTTAAAGAGCACCTTATCTGACAACATCGAGTAGGTTAAAGCTCTAAGACATCAATCAGCAATCTAAAGAAATTTCAGAATACATGCTATATACAATATTGAAGTAGAGCAATGATCTAAGTCACCCAAAAAGGCCACATATGTGCATCTTATCTTTTATATGAAAACAATTCTGCAAAGATTGGATCAAATTTATTCCACAGCAATGCAAATTAACCATTAATAGTTTTGAGGGATGCTTGATGCAGTTGTAGTCCTCAACCAGTTATTAGTCAGTTTCTTAATTAGGGCTGGGTTGGTTATAAAAAAAAAATGTGAAGAAAATGCTTTTTATTTATGAAGAGATTTTCAAATTGACATTTTTGAGATGTTTTTCAAATTATGATCCAAAAATTTGAAGTTTGACCCGAGGAAAGGGGAGAAATCCTGTAAATAGGCACTAACATTTCACAGAATTGCATCTTCATCTTACTGCTGAGTAGAGTAAAAACCGAAAATGTTAATTAAAAAGTATTATTTGGCACAGATTTGAATGTTTTCAGTTCTTGGGGGTTGACAGATTAATTATGAAGCAGCTGGTTTCATGTCTTAGGTTATATTTATAGACTGGGTACAAAAAAGAAGGGAGGAAATTAAGTCAATGCCTACAGCAGTCTGTTTTAGTGTAAAAACTTTCTATTCCTCACAGTTTATTCTAAATACTGCGAGAACCAGACTCTTTACTTATTTACTTGCTGTTGTAATGCCAGGAAAGAATATTGAGCCAGATTCAGCTGACACAAGTAGTGTGCATTTAAAAAGTTTATTTAAAAGTAAATTGTATGTTGCAGGAACAAAAACTGATTGGAAATGGAATCACTGTGTGGAGGAGAACAGGGTTAATGGCGGAGAACAACTCACTGGTGTTGAAATGCAGTGAATGAAAGCCACTAACCCTCTCAGAAGCCGAGAGGTTATTCAAGCTCTAAAGATTGACTCCTTTTGCTCCATTCAGATGATTCAGGTCAATTACTGACTTATCCAAATCCTGACAGGGCTAAACAGAGCTAAGGATAGGGGACATTGTAGTTAGCCTGGGAGTCATGCACAGAAGAGCTGTCCTCATAGCAGAGCTTTCCAGAAAGTTGAGATCAGGAACTAAGGTCAAAGATGGATTGATGTTCTACTCGCACAAAACGGCTTTCAAAAATCTGGCAGTTATCCTCTGGGAGAGCCATGAATATATAGATCTCCTCCCAGGTGTTGCAACTTCTGAGCTGTGTCCGAACCTCCGCCTTAACCACTGCTCTAACTGCCATTTTATGTCTCCGAAAGCTAAACATTTCTCACAATGCACCTTGAAAAGTAGTGTGCATCCTTGGTCCCTAGATGAGCAGATATATCCCAGAATGCGAGTGTTCTCCTCGCAAAGCATCATGGGATTCGCTTTGGGGGGCGAGAGAGAACAAAGATGGCACAGACACCATGCGGGGACTCGGAGTCATGTGAACAATGGGGATCGAAAAATGGTGATCATATGTCCGAACGGTCAGCTAACTGAGTTCACTATAAAGTCCACTATATAGTCCCTGCTCTATATAGTGATCGAGGGTTTGGGGGTTGAAGTGGACATTAGGTTGGACGTCGTGGTCATTGGAGCTGCTGCAGGTGTAACCGCTCAGACCTGATTGTCAGTGCTGCACAAGGAGCACAGTGACACGGCAGCTTCGCAGGCAGGAACAGACTAGGATCATTACAGTTTTGAGTGTTATATTCTTATAAAAAACCTATTTTGAACATTGATGGCCTCAGAATAACTGTAAGGCGTGACATAAATTCATATTAACATGAACAAGAAAAAGAAACTTGCCTAGAGAGATAAACTTCTAAAACCTGACAAGCTTCTTAAACCTGCTTGTAAATGCTGTATTCTTTGTGCAGGATGCATCAATTAGGATTTTTGTCACCAAAAGTGATCCCAGACATTTGAAGTTGACTACTTCCAGACACTTAGTCCCAATATCTTCAATATATCATTGAATTTAATCAAATTATTGCCTTTTAATGCTTTAATGATTTATTTTTTCTTGAAAACCGTGCAGCTTTAAATTGCTTTATAACAACTAAAACAACAGCTGTTAATGCAGTCTCATCTTTGCTGTAAACATCATTGTAAGGGATGAAAGATACTTAGATTGTTTAGAAAAAAATTATAATCGACTATTATTATTCAAAAAATGGTTGCACAAACATGGCTACGTGGCTGAGAATTAAAAAATCATAGCAGCAACAGGTGTTGGAAGTTAAGTTTAGCTGAAGTCATGATGAAGATGTTTTTTTTAAATTGCCCTTATCCAATCCGACATGAATCAAGTGATAACGCGAAAAGTCTACATTACCCCTTAGACAGAAATAGAAAATAGAATGAGAGTAGAAAAAGGGTAAAAATGGGCGACTATTTGCAAAGAAGACATTTGCAATTTACTTTTCTAAAATTATCTGCAGCTCACCCACACAAGGAGCATAAATGACTCATAAAATAACACTGATGTTTTGTCTTTACAGACTTACGTCATATGTATCATGTAGGTCATACATGCTGTGAAGCATAGAGTAAGACGCCCACAATAGATTAATTTTGTGCAGGTTTATAAGAATAACTTTAAAATGGATATGATTATTTTCGAAACAACTGATTTAAAAACATACACAAGGATTAGGATTAACATACAGAGAGGTGTTGTTACTGCCATGATCTTAAATGATATTTTCAGTGCATAAACAGTTAGCAAACATTTCAATGCTAAGATATACAGGCTAAATTATGCTTTAGCTCATTGGGTTATTTAATTATGTGATAAATATGAGTAGCTAGGGAAAAATGTTTCTATAAACCTCATGGTGGCGCCTGGGAGTCATTCTGCGTTAGTGTTTCTAAATCTGAATACATATACCTGCTATAATGTCACAGATCTTCAGATCCTCTTATGATGAACCTGATGAGCATTGCTCCTTGTTAATATAATTCATAAACCTTCTCAAACTCATTCTTGGTATCTTCTCTGTTATGTTTGCAAAGGTTCTGGGACCCTTACAGAAGAGAACCAGACAACAATCAGGCCCAAGGGCCAGAGGGGGAGGACTGTGCAGTGGTGGATAGCTACACTCAGAAATGGTACGACGTTCCCTGTGAGTTCACCTATCCTCGGATCTGTCAGAAAGCCGCCAATCCGCTGCTCTCAGACCCAACCGCACCTCTGGAGCACCCCCGACTAAGCTGCAAATGTGACTGATCCGTTATTGAAAAGCTTTAATATACATTTGCAATATTACAGTTTGTCTTCAGCTTTTAATCAACATCTTTATTCTGTCCAAACTATCCTGTTTCTATTTTTAAGAAATAAAGTATCACCTTGTGTGAAGAAATAAAATATGTTCAGTATTTTTTTTTTAAATGAATAACTAAATAAAGAAAAGACAATTAGATATCAGGGCAAATATAGCTGAACCAACAAGACACTGAACAAAACAACAAAAAATCTCACAAGCACAATGTTAGCATAGATAAAATTCACAATATTACAAATATATTACAAAGTAAGTTCAGACTTCTGACTGTGAGAGGATATAAACAACATGCTTTTTTAACACTAAGTCAACTAAAATTTGAAACATTAGAAACACAAAATACAGAATCATTATCAGTACAGTGCTAGTAGAAGGGAAGGTCCAAAAACAATAAATGATCTGGGAAAGGCTAAGAGCAGTTAATCATTACAGAAAAACAAAGACAACCTTTTTACAAGAAATTTCAGGAGTCACTAAACTACAAAACTTTTAGGGATCAAAATGCTCTTCAGAAGAAAGAAGGATTAAAATCAGATTTGCCTAAAATCATTTTAAAATACCCATAAAACAGTGCACATACAAAGGTTATTTAAAAATTAAATGTGATCCTCAAAAACCAGCATCAATTCTGTTTTTTCTTTTTGGATGCAGTCCGTATGTTATTATTTCATTTATATACAGTCTCTGCTTCTTTTTTTTTTATGAAGAAAAGAGTTTGAGTGCGTTTCCGGAGGAACTTATTCTATCTACATTTATAAAGGTTGTCCAAACTCATTTAGAAATGGTGGTTAAAAACTCCTGGTCTGTTTCCATTTCAAAACAACCTTCTCCTACATTTTTAGCACCCCATAAACATATGACATTCAATTAATGGATTTTTATCTTCATCTATAAACCAGCTGTGAGTTATCCTCATCAATATAGTTAGATTTTTTGTATTTGTTAATTTTAATGTATTTTATTAATTGAAGATCTGAAATTGTGCTATTTTCCCTTCAACTGAGGCTCTGATCCTTGTTAGCAAAATAAGTAACATAATGAACACAGTTGGCCAAATTAATAACAGGTCACCTCTGGATGAAACAAAATCAGTTAAAAGATCTGCACAAAAAATATATGTATTTCAAATCATTGTTTGGAAAAGTTGATTAAAAAATATTTCCAAATTTACAAAATGGGGAAAAATGGTTTATATATATACAGCTTTAAAATTTGTTTATCTTATATTTTTATTTTTACAACCTCTTAATGTTTCCTTCTCTTCCAAACTCATCCAGAACAGTCGATAAATGTAAGGGTCCATCTGGGACAGACATGTATTTGTTTGCATGGTGCCCTGGGGTCGTATCATGAAAGTCCTGATTATTAGGCCTTGAAGAATCCCTTTGGTTTGGGGCTGAAAAAGAAACAACATTGTTTGAATTAGGAAAGATATTAAATATCAAGATATTATTCATTCATAAATGTTTACTTATTTGGGAGTGAATGTACATATTATTGCCATCCTGTTAATCCAGGAAATGCTTAGCTCTTACTTTTCGCACTTGCAGAGTCGATGCCTGAAATTTCTGATCTTCCTCTGAGGAGAATTACAAATACATGACAGACGGTGAGATTTCAATCAAGATAAGACCAAATTCAGGTTTGATCCACCTGAAAATATGGAAGATTTTAACTGTACCTGTCTGCGCCGGAAAAGGGTGACAGAAACTATAAGGAGGAGGATCAGGATGACTGCAGCGCCGCATATGGTCACCACCATCCATGCAGTCAGGATTGGATCTGTGGAGAACAGAGAATCAGAGTCATTAAACAGTATTGAGTAGATACAAAGAACAGGAGAGGTAAAACTACGTTTCTGTTTTAATGCTCTGTGGCCACAGGTTCATAACCATGTCAGATTTCTGCTCTCGCTTCCTGTGCTCACCGATCTCCAGTATTATCACAGCTGACGTCAGTGTCGTGGCGTTCTTCTGCAGCTCACACCTCCACTCTCCAGAGTCCGTTGTGCCCACTCTTGGTATGGTATACAGAGGGTCAGATGAAAGCTTGGCTTTCCCCTGGGAGGATGTCTTTGGAGGGAACCACTGCACCTTAATGTCGGCATCCAGGGTTCCACCAGTGGAACAGGAGAGGTTCAGGTGATTACCTGAAATTAGCTTTTTTCCTGGGGAGGGGATGACTGGAGAGCAAAGGAAAAGTAGATGAGTTTCATATGTTTAATTGCATTTTTTTGTAAGTCTCTACCAAAAGCACAGCACAAAAAATCACTTAAGAACAAAATAACTGAGGCTTTGTTTTTGCTTACTTTTCAGCACCTCTACAAACACAGTCCTGGTGAGAACAATGCCATTTGTAAATGTTATTGAACAGTTGTAGCTCCCTCTGTCTTCTTCTTTTGCCGGATTTCTGTACAAGGAAACATTTCCTTCCTTTGTGAAGTTCTTAAAAATCAGTCCTTTTTGCGGTCCCTTTTGTGCCCACGGTCCATTCTTCAAGGTCAACAAGACAGTTTTATTGCCATCCTTTTTAGGGATGAAAACCCATTGGATTTCCTTGATTTTACTCAGTATTTGTTTCAAAAACTTATTGGGAGTAATCAAAATAGACACGGTAAGGGGGAGGTTTGTAGAAGTGTAGAGATGTTTGGATTCAAAAGAGAAATCTAAAACAGAGAAGAAGATATCTAAAACAATTTAACTCAAAATGCAAGTAGACCACAACAGCATAAAATAATGTGTTCATGGCAAATAACTCACCTATAACAGAAACAGAAAATTTGAAACTGCGAACTTCTTTTACGACACATGTCCACTCTCCGTTGTGTTGGCTTTCGGCTTTCTCATTAAATTCTCCTGTTTTTGTTTCTATGCCTGATGGTTTTATCCAGTAAGTCTGGGTTTGGGTTTGACCTTCAACTTTGCAGCTCAGAGATAAAGTATCTCCAGGTGTCACTGGTGAATCTCCTTTCATGCTCACTAATACGACAAAAAAGACAGATTGCACATTTAAGAAAATCTGAATCAAAATTCTTAAAAGGAACCCTTCAATAAAGGATCATTTCAGATACTCTGCAGTCAAGTTTTTTGTTGGACCTAGTAAATTAAAAAGTGATAAAAAAAAATATTATTAGACTGACTATAAGATTTAAGTTAAAATTTTAATTTAGAGCAACATATTGTAGAAACATAGTATTTTAATATACAGGTTATATTATAGAGTTGAATGTGTTTTGGTTCTTACCATCAACTTTAATCAGCTTAAATGTTCTTGTTTCTTGGTAATTTAAAGCATTTTTAACTTTACAGATAAATGTCCCTATGTTTTCCTGTTCGATGTTAGAGATGGTCAGTTTCCCTTTATTTGCAGACAACTTGCCTTTCCAGATATCTGTAAAGAAAAGTTGACAAAAAAATAAATAAGTATGGCCAAAATAACCTAAATTTCTGTGCATTGTAAATATTTTTCTTAATGATTAACTGCAAAAAAAGAAAAACAAATAATCCTCTTTGATGCGCATATACATCACTCACCTGAATCAGATACATAATTTCTACCTAAATAATTATTGTCAGCAATCCCAGGTTCGCTCTCCGTTTCAAAGAACCACTGCACATAATAATTATCTGGGACTATGGGCATTTCAAGCACAACAACATCTCCAAGACGAACATAAATGTCTGCCCCTAAGAGAGAAATATAGCTAAGAGTTAATATGCAAAATCAAAATGCATTTTAAACATTTTAAAAGAATCTGTAATGGGTGTTTCCTACCATATGTCTTGAGGATGGTGGTGAGAAAGGCCAAGAACTGCAGAAGGATCTTCATTGTGGTGTCACACCTAAACACGGTAAAAAGAAGAAAAAAAAGAGACATCATTTTGTGATGTATAACTGATCGTATAAGTTTAAAAGCACAATAGATCACAAGTACATAAATGATAAATATGTGCTATTAATTTGAAAGGTAAATCACAATATGCACAATGCATACATACAGCTAGGAAGTATATTAGACATGGAAAAGTAGCTGGAGTACAATAGTTTCCATACAAAAAAGCTCAACATATCCATTACCCAGATTTCAACAGAGAAGGTCTATTTATGCCTAAAAATAGTGACCTGAATATCAAGCTGTGTAAAACAGCTATGGCCTTTTTTGCGCCAAATGTCCTAAATAGATACATAAGCAGGGTGTATTTGAGTATTTTAAAATTAGTAACCAACTTAAGTACTGCGTCACCTCAAGTTTTATTATGTTAGCACATAGTTTTTTTAAATCACACTTTGAAATAAAACAATATACACCATTAAGGCCAAAAAAATGAATCATATTAATCTTGATTAATCAATTTTTGAAATAATCATCAACTAGTTCAGTAATCCATTAATCATTAAATGGAGTGTAGAGACTCTAAAACATTCCTTTAGCTGACAGAGCAATGCACTTAGGGCAGTAATTATATCCAAATTGTAAAAAAATATATAAACATTTTGCATTTAAGATAAAAAAATATATATTTGTCTGTCAATATAAGTTTTACCTGGTTTAATTTAGTAAAAAATCTTCTTTAAGGAACCTTTGACTATTAATCAATTAACTGGAAAAATAATCAACAAATTAATTGATTTGCAAAATAATCGTTAATTGCTGTCCTACACACAATACACGCATAAAAAATAATATTTATAAAAAACTGAGTTGATGTGTCAACAAAAAGGACATTCAGCGACACCTTTGAGAGGAATTATCTTTTATCTTTTCAAATATATATGGTATTCGGAAGAAGGGTCCTGATTTCACCCTGTGCTCATGCTTTCATTCACATTAGGGTAAAAACTTAAAGGAGCAACCCAGTGATTGCGGTGGTCTCAGATTTTGAGAGATTTGAAAAGATAAAAGAGGAAATGTTCAGAGACATGAGAGTAGGCGGTCTGTGGTGGGCTTCAGATGAAAATAAGCAGGCAAATTTGGAGGGGAAGAGGCACACAGAGAGCGTATGCTGGGTTGTGGTGGGACTTGATTTAGTTAAGGTGAAGATTCTTATCCCAGTCTTCCCCTCTCCCCTTCCTCCCCC